GGTATATCGAAGAATCCTGCGTCAAACTTTTGTATTTCGTTCATTTTTCCTATTCGAGGAGGCATTTCGTATATATCTGTCAAAGTTTTAATAATTTGTAAACACAATATTGTATTGGTAAATTAAGGATAATAATTGTATAAATACAATAAGTATTTTTCTACTAAATGACAAGGTTGTATAAGTTAATGATTTTTTTAAAATTAAGTTAAGTTAAAGTTAATTGCTTATAAAATTAATAATAACTAGTTATTAGTTAAGTTAAAAATTGCATGAACAAAAAAATAACTTAGTTAAAGTTCACACACACACACACACACACACACACACACACACACACACACACACACACACACACACACACACACACAGTTAAAATTAAATTAACTAAAATTAAATTAAAAGTTTATTTTTAAAACTATTATATTTAAAACTATAATATTTCATAGATATCTGTCAAGATATTAAAATAATTTATATATAAATAATATTGTTATATTGTTAAAAGTTATGTGGATTTTATTTGCAATAAATATTTTTTTACTAAATAAATATTTTTTTAGTCAAAAATATAATTGATAAGTAATCTGATATATAATCTTGGAAAAATATTACAATCAGTCCAGCGTTGATGATCGTTCGAACCAAGATCCATTTTGTTGAAAAGATTTTCCTGTAATTCCTTTATATTATCAGAATTAGGAAATTGCCCGGCAATACCAGAGATGACGATTTCCTCTTCAGCACTGACTCTGACATATGGATTGAATCGCTTGTTTTTATCCATTTTTCAAAAATCCTGATAGTTATAAAGAAAAACTAATAAAATTTTATTTCAAAGTTATATATATGTACAGGGTAGACCATTTTAATCAATACATACGAATATTTCGGAAAGGAAAAGTTTTTTCAAAAAATGTTTCAAATAAAAGTTTTATGGCTTTGAGGGGAAAAAATAATGACATAATTTTTTTAAAAAACTGGACGCTCTGCTAAGTTTCAAAATTACAATGCATTTACATTGCTTAAAGTTACATAAATAAATTTAACTACAAAATATATTTTAACTGCAATAAGTTTTAAAGTAACAAATAATTTAATTTTAATATTATTTAGCAGTGCGTTAAGTTTTTTAACTAAAATTTTTATTTTATTTTATATTAATTTACTATTATATTAATTTACTAGTTCATTATACGACTCTATATATGTTTACAATTTTAATTTTCCACTGGTACAAGTTTCTACTTTCACTTGGTGCAATTTTTTTTTTATATCATTACTTTTGTAGTAAGATTCTACATGGGTTTACAATGGATAATTATTCATACAATTTTACATGGATTTGCAATGATTAATTTTTCATAGGATTCTACATGGGTTTGCAATGAGTAATTTTTTGTTACTGGCATGCCATTAACTGGGTGCCTTTTTTTACCTTTTTTTAAAGGTAAATATATATGTCATAGGCCAATGGTTATTTTCAGCAAATAGCTTTTGACTAGTCAAATGCTATCTGCTATGTCAAATGGCTTTCACCCGTTTATTTGTGTCCAAATGCTATTTTCCTAGGCAAACAGCATTTGCCTGAAGGTTTTTTACGAAAATGGAAATAAATTTGGATATTGTTCCGAATGGAACACTTCGAATTTATGACAACTCTTTTGCGCACTGAAAATGGACAAAACAACATAATATACAATGTTACAACCCCATGGAATGTTGCAAACCCATGTGGAATCTCGCCTTCGCGTGGAAAAGTATATACGTGGACACAGTGGGTTCTGTCCCCTACCAAAAAACTAGACATACCATATATAGGTTTGGATTGAATCTCGCTTCGCGCGCAAAGTTTTAACCCCATGTGGAACCTCGCTTTGTGTGGAAAAGTATATGCTAAATACCATTTGCCTACAGCGGTTCAGTCAAATAATATTTGACTAGAAAAATAACATTTGACTAGGAAAGTAACATTTGAAAAAAGGCGAAAACCATTTGACATGGCAGATAGCATTTGGCTAGTCGAAAGCTATTTGCTGAACATAACCATTGGCCTACGACATATATATGTATATATATATATATATATATATACAGGGTAGGCCATTTTAATCTTTCCACTAAAATTTCACAAAATCCAAAAATTTAAGACAAAAATGTTTCAGATAAAAGTTGTATGGTTTCAAGGGGGACATGAGATGGTGTCATTGATTTGACCTTGAATAGCTATTTGAAGGTTACGTGAAGGTCAACTTCAATTTCTTAAATGGAACACTATATTTTTTCTTGCATACTTTTGTAGCTGACTTCGAGATCTTTCCAAAACACTACAATAAAATATTTTTTCATGAAGTATTTTTCGAGTTATTAAGGCTGCAAATTTGCAGTATTTTGACATAAAATACAAAATATCTTGGGAAATATTCATTTTTCGATTATCATACCTTAATACTTTTATGCACAGAATAATGAGATAAATCAGTTGATGTAAAGAAAACACATAGTTACCTTTAAAAAAAAATATGAAAATTGCAATAAGCAGTTAGATAATTTTTCTTTAAGACAACTATGTGTTTTCTTTACACCAATTGATTCGTCTCATTATTCTGTGCATAAAAGTATTAAGGTATGATAATCGAAAAATGAATATTTCCCAAGATATTTTGTATTTTATGTCAAAATACTGCAAATTTGCAGCCTTAATAACTCGAAAAATACTTCATGAAAAAATATTTTATTGTAGTGTTTTGGAAAGATCTCGAAGTCAGCTACAAAAGTATGCAAGAAAAAATATAGTGTTCCATTTAAGAAATTGAAGTTGACCTTTACGTAACCTTCAAATGGCTATTCAAGGTCAAATCAATGACACCATCTCATGTCCCCCTTGAAACCATACAACTTTTATCTGAAACATTTTTGTCTTAAATTTTTGGATTTTGAGAAATTTTAGTGGAAAGATTAAAATGGCCTACCCTGTATAATAAAATTTTTTTAATTATTTTATCAATACCTTAATCATACTTAGCAAAATTAATTTAAATTTCAAAAATTTTATTATTATTATTTAGTAATTTGCTAACGGAATAAATAAATGGATTTAATAATACTGAATAGCGAAATATTCTAATAAAAGATAACACATAAATTTATAAGACATTAAGAATAAAAAGTCTTAAAATAAATAAGATTTTATATGTGTATTATTATTACAAATATATAATTATTAAAATATCAATTAAAATTTTCTATTCGCTCGTGTATTGTATAAAACAACAAATGTATTCAAAAGAGGCCAATTTATCGAGCAATATTTAAGATGTATCTAATTAAATTTTATTTCATACACAATATATTAAAATTACAAAAACCTTCCATATAAACGTTTCAACCGCACGCGGTCTTCTTCAGTATAACAATGTTACGTAATTTATAATTCTTACAAAAAACACCATATTCTTAAAATTTACTGATAGTCCGTTAATACGAGTCAAAAATTTGTTAGAAATTTATGCGTGTTACAAATTGTCATATTTATAAAAGTATTCGCCATAATGTGATCTTATGATGTTGGATCCCGTAAATTATTTCTTTGTTATTAAGCGAGAAATTCTTAATATCCATAGGCGTTTGTGTCGCCTCTTCTCACAGTTTAACACAATTTTTTTTTTTAAATTAAAATTATTATAAATATATAAAACAACCGTCTAACAAGACACCTCATTTTGAACTCTTTTTTAATTTAATTAAATACATCTTAAATATTGCTCGATAAGTTGGCCTCTTTTGAATACATTTTTTGTTGTTGTTTTATAATTATTAAAAATACATAAAAATCGTTGTAAAAAAATATTTCATGTTTCGAATTTCAAGAGAGAAGGAAACAGAGCAATGCGAATTTTGGAAAAAAATTAAAATAATAGTAGAAGAATAATAAAAGCAAAAATATTTAGAATATTTATTTAACATGTTTTTATTGTACTTATTTGTGTACACGATTTAGTTATGTACAGAAATAATTTTCGGAATAATTTACTCAAAAATAAAAAAAGAAAAATTCGATAAATGCAAGAAAAATTTAAACTCACCGCGTTGAAGTTTTAAAAAATCTTCTGATATTAACAACAGTAATTCTATTAGAAATAGAAAATAGAACTTTAACACTGACTAGCACAATAATAATCTGTGCCGTAGAATAGAATATGCTCTATTGTCTGTTAAACCAAATATGATTCCAAATTTAAGATATCATAACAACCCTATTTGCATGAAAAATAGTGTGATTATGAATAATTAGAATATTCAGTTCAGATTAATTTCATATACGTTTTGTGTCAAAGTTCAGTGAATCAGCGGATACGATAATAATGCAGAAATGGACGACTTTTCCGATTCTTATCATGTTTTGTATCTTAATGAGATATAATCAAATACGAAAAGCATTTTTTATTCAAACTCATATGTGCTGTAGTCAAATGTCAAAATTAATGCAATACATATATATACATACTTCTTATATATGTGATGATAGAATTTTGAAAGGAATAAAACATCTTTTTTAAATTAATATCGTCTATAATAAATAAAACGGTGGAAACAAAAAATAATTTCATATTTCTCTACTATATCTTGCCTTTTATTAATTTAATTTAATTTAATTTAATTTTGCTTTGACTAAAAACATGATTAAAATAATTATCAAATATATATTAATTTTCGGACCTATATTTTTCTCGCTTATTTTCTCCATATATAAGTTCGAGATTAATTTATATATGAAACTTAATAATCTCAAACCAAGAGATACAGTTCCGAAGAATTAATTTTTCGCGCTTTGGCTCTATTGGCCAATTTAAAATATCATATTTATATTATTATTAATATTGAGAGCCCATAAAAATATTTCTTATCTGATATATTAATTTTGTCTACATTTACTTTTTGAAATTGTTTCAGATAATTATTTTAAGACTTGATATATTTTCATGCATAATTATTTCTATATTATATTGTATAATTATTGTTCATAATTTTTAATTTACAACGCTTCGTTAATAAATGATGCTATTTTGTCATTGTCCATCATTGAGATATGAGTACCTTCCACGTAATGAATTTGTATTGCACCTTCGGTGATCTAAAAAAAATTTCTCTTGTAAAAAATATCTTAAAAACAATAAAATAGTTTACGATCTAATCAATTTTACCTTGTATAAACCACAATCCTCCTCGATAAAATTGAAAGGCGCAAGTGTAGGTTTTAAAAATGTTATAGATGATTTTAAGCGCGGCAACGAAGATATATTATAATTTCTTAAAGCGATTATATGATCGAAAACTGTTGAACATAAAAGTTTCTGATTTTCAACAGATAATACAGTAATCTCCTTCGAAAAGGGAGAAAATGCTTCTAACTTTTCCTCCCATGTTTTGCACTTAATCAGCTCTGATGCAAGCTGTAAATAATATAATAGAATAAAAAAAATTAATTTTTTTATTAAAACATTTGTTTCTGAACATAAATTTGGTAAGTCTGTGCTTTGTTTCTATATGTATTAGGTTGGTCAATAAGTCCGTGCGGTTTTTTTACATATAAATGATGGATAATTTTTACATAGAAGACAATACTTTTAATCAATAATGTATTGGCCCTTTTGTTCTACTATATTTTGCTATCTTTCACGAAACTTCAAAATTCCTCGCTTGTAGAACTTCTTGTTTTTTTCGTTGAAAAACTGTTTTAAGTGCCGTTTGATGTCTTTTTCGCAAGTAAAGTGCCGTCCATTCAAGGATAATTTTGTAGGCAGCGAAACAAATAATAATCCAAAGGAGCAAGGTCTGGAGAATACGGAGAATGTGGTAGGATATCCCAGCCCAACTCCAATAATTTTTGCCGTGTTTGTAAAGACGTGTGCGGTCTGGCGTGATGGAAGATAACATCTATACGATTCACCAATTCTGGACGTTCCTTGTGAATCGCTGCGTTTAATTTGTCCAACTGGTTACAGTACACATCTGAATTAATCGTTTTATTCTTTGGAAGCAACTTGTAAAACACAACACCCTTCCAATTCCACCATATTAAGAGCATAATTTTATTCGGGTAAAGTCCTGGCTTCGAAATGATTTGAGGTGGTTTATTGCACTGTTCCCACGATCTTTTGTGCTAGATATTGTTGTAGACTATCCATTTTTCATCGTCCGTTATCATTCGTTTCAAAAATGGATCGGTTTCTTCACGTTTCCGTAATGAATCGCTGATAGAAATGCGTTTGATTAAATGAGCTTCGCTCAATTCATGCAGAATCCACATATCTAACCGGCTAATGTAGCCAAGTTGATTCAGATGGTTTCACACGCTTGTTTTTGATATGTGGAGAACATCTGCAATCTCTCGCGTCGTAAAGCGTTTATTGGTATCGATTAACGCTTTTATTGCTTTGTCTTGATCAATCTCAACTGACCAGCCAGAGCGTGGTACATCTTAGATTGAAAAATTTCCGGAACGAAATTTTGCAAACCATTTCTGGCACACACGTTCTTTCATAACATCCTTACCATATACCGCACATATCTTTTTAGATGTTTGTGCCGCGTTTTTGCCTTTGTTAAAATAAAATAACATAATATGGAGAAAATGCTCGTTTCTGTTATCTATCTTTTGAATTATATTAAACACATAAAACGCAACTAATCTTTACGTATTTTTTTTAAATGCACGTTGAAATATCACCTATCGAACGAAATGCGTACCTTCACGATTTAAATTGAATATAATAACTTTTCAGACCATTAGAGTCATCTATCGACAAAAACCGCACGGACTTATCAGTCAACCTAATACTTTAATTCTGGAAGAGTTTTTTTATTCTACCATATTCGATCAATAAAATGAAATAGATGCGCAAAAATTATATTTTATTGATAAAATAGGATTACGTTTAAGATCCACATAATTTATGAATAATGTATATATATATATATATATATATATATATATATATGTATAATGTTATTAAAATTATACTTAAAAAAAGTCATAATGTGTAATTTTAATCATGAACTAACCATTTCACTACGAGATCCAAGATACATTTTTATGAAAAGAAGTATAACATCATTTTGTAATTCGTGTTCCGACTGTTGATTAAGAACTATTTCACCCAAAAATTTCATTAGATCAGGAGCACCATCAATAATTATTAAACGTCCAGCAAAGTTCTTAGCTTCCAATAATCTTGCTAATTCGATGGCAATTAAACATCCAAATGAATAACCCACAACCAAAAATTCCTTTTGACCTCTCATTTTCTCCAATACATACTGGAAAAAAAAATATCCATATATAATATGATATGTAAAAAAAGGTGTGTATGATTATTTCAAATAGATTATCTTATAATTCCATACAGGCAGAAAATACGCTGCTGATTTCGTTATTGAACGAGTGACACCCGGAATATGAAATACACCGTGTTGTAAACACGTCGCCGAGGATTTAATTTTCGATTCTACCAATTTGTATACTCTGGCACAGCCATCGACACCTGGTATAAGAAATACTTCGCTTCCAACAGCTTCCCTCTTTGTACCGACTTCTACATAAATATCTGAATTCAAATCCGAATCGCTAAGTTTTCTAGTCAACATGTTTAATCCGTCCAACTCATTTGCGTCAGCTTCAGTGGCGTCAGGCACCTCATCTTTCTCGGCTGTATTTGTCATTTGTTTGAGTTTAGCAAGATTGAGATTTCGAATATCTTGTGCCGTCAATAAAATATCAAATTCTCTCTCCAACGTCTGTTTAATTTCCACTGCCATCATTGAATCCATTCCTAGTTCGGCCAGAGATATGTTTGGCGCCACCATGTTTGGATTTTTCAATCCTATTTTAAGAATTATTAAAAATAATTAGATATTTAGGGTTATTTCAATGCAATCTTACTTAAAACAACGACATAAGAATTTACGATTAAAATTTACGCTTTTTTACAGAGACATCAATAAAAACTTTAATACACTCGTTTATTTGGCATACTATTATAATTTGGTACTATAATTTATATTGTTATTGGATTCTTAATAATAGTATTGAATAATAGTTGACTTCGTATAAATGATTTGTCACGAATTTTTGAGATAATAGTACTTATGAACTGACCCATAATATTTGCAACCGCTTCAAGTGGATTCGTTGCCTGGCCAAAACCTTTTCTCTTTTCAGCCACAATCATGCTGCCTACGACTGATCGATCTTGAAGCAAGAATGTTTCCAATGTATTTAAACAAGAGGATATTTCTTGTTGCAATGTACCGCCAATAACAAGTTCTTTGTCGTCTTCTTGCATATCTGCGACAAGCCCAACATTACCAATAGCGCCCCATTGTATAGCCAAACCATGTAGACCCTCTTTCATTCTTCTTTCACAAATTCTTTCCATTATAGAATTTGCCATTCCGTAATTTGTCTGGCCAGCGTTACCTCTTCCACATGAAACGGAAGAAAAAACGACAAAATGTCGAAGCTGGGGACAAATTGTTCTCGATAATTCGTCCATCTTTTTTGTCGTCCATGCTTTTGATAAGAAAGATTCTTCGAAAGTCTCTGGAGACTGATTCTTGAATATGCCATCTTTCAACACAACTGCGAGATTGAATATAGCATCCACAGGACCTTGTTCTTCGGCAAATTTTAATAGAGAATTACAGTCTTCGTATTTCGAAGCATCAATAGCTGTCACGATTTGTACATTCACACCTTGTGATTGCCATAACTTCACTCTCGATCGCTGATAACCGTTCCTTATTCCAGTTCGCGATGTCAGTACTAGATTTTTCGCACCACGTGAAATCAACCAATCAATTAATTCTAGACCGAAACCACCTAAGCCACCTAAGATAATGTAGCACTTGTGTTTTAGACAGTAGTAACTCGGATATGCGAAAATAAGTGCATCTAAGGGTTCATCTTCATTACGAACTTTTATCATTATCTGCAAATATTATTAATTTAAACGGTAGAATGTGTACACATTTTAAAATATTAAGTAGAATAGAGAAAAAAATGAGAAAAAAACGCATAAAGGACGACAAGATGTTAGAAAAAATTAACACATATTGAAAAGGAGATTACAAATATCGTATTTTAATAATAGTTTAAATAAAATAATTCAAATATAAAAAGCAATTTGAAACAAAATATTTAAACAAGTGAAATTTTATAAATCAACTTCTTTGTTATGTATAATGAAAAACAATCATACCTTGCCAATATGCTTTCCAGCAGTCATGTATCTAAATGCAACTTCTACTTCATCCTTTTTGAAGACTTTCCTGCATAATGGTTTGATAGCACCATTCTTTAAACCTTCTATTATTTTGCTCCTTAGTACTGTCTTACTCTCCGGTTTTGCAGAGAATAATTTATCTAATAAAATGCCGTGGAAGCTAATGCCTTTTGAGAATGAAAATATTTCTAAAGGACTATTAGCAAACATGTCAAACTTTCCAATTTCGAGGAAACGGCCGCCCTTTGCTAAGCAACGAACGGACGCTAGCAGTTTCTCCTCGACTAAGGAATTCAATACGATATCCACTCCGCGACCTTCCGTTCCCTGGATAATCATTTGCTCGAAACTCGTGTCTCGAGAATTTCCGATATGATCCTCGGATATGGAGGGAAACGTTTTTCTTATAAAGTTCCGTTTCTCAGCAGTCCCGACCGTCGTAAACACTTCGCAGCCTTCGTGAAGCGCGAGATGAATCGCAGCTTGACCGACGCCTCCTGTACCGGAGTGAATCAACACTTTGTCGCCCTTCTTCATTTTACCTTTCAGATATAAAGCGTAATAACACGTACAATATACGCAAGTAACCGTCGCAGCGTCTTCCATCGTCCAGTTGTCAGGTACGATCCAACTGAGATATTTGTCAGCTACGAGAATATTTGCCATTCCTCTGAAAATAATGAATTAGAAAATGTATTAGTTATTATATTGAAACATTTTTTTATTATAAATTAAATTTTTTATTTAAAAGTAAAAAAACACATAAAAGTACGACAATTCTTTTATTATCATAACTAAAATATATTATTTATAACTAATAAATTAATTTAATTTTAATTTAATTTTTAGAATTCTATAGAAATTAATACATTTTATTTACTAATATAATCATATTTATTAAAGTTGTGTGTGTATATATCATACCCTGCTGAACATATACCCATTATTCTTTGGCCATATCTATTAAAACCAACAAATTCCATTCCAAGTAGAGAACCATTATCTGGTTCGTTCGAAATAGTTTCGAGATTGAGTCTACCACTAGCTATCATGACATCTTTAAAATTGATAGACGCATAGACTATTCGTACTAAATTTTCTTTCTCTTCGTCATTGAAAGATATCCTGTTATATACCCAACGAAGACTACTTAAATCACCTGGCACCTTACATAAATAAATATAATAAATTATTTTAATTTAATTAAAGTTACAGCAAATCGTTATTCCATTTATAAATGAACAATTACATCATAATTATTTTAGTTCTTCTTAATTATTTTTCTGAACGTACCAATTGTGTAACATAGGCACTGTCTACCAGTTTTGGTTCTAATGGTGGTAAGGGAAAATGCCTGTAGGATCCCCAAATATTACCGGAACGTATAACATTAATGGGTAAATCCAGGTGTAACTGATTCGTGTACAATGATTCTTGTACTGAAAAGATAGGCACATCTTCATCTTGAATAAATACACCTAAAATCATTTCACCACCTGGTTCCTTTCGCAAACAATTCAAAAAGCCAATTAGTCCGGATTCGAAGTCTCCTTCTGCGACCAAAATTATCCTCATATTTTTAGTTTCATTTCTTACGTTCATAAATGATTTAAGCTTGTTTACCCACGAAAATTCATAATTGTTTACATGAACTATTTGCTGAATCTTCACAAATTGTACTTTCCTTAATAGTATAAATGTCTTATCGTTGGTGCGTTTCTCCAAAACTACTTTTAACCCATACTTATCTAGACAGGAGTAGTCATACATAGCATTCAACTTTTCCAGAGTTAAAAGAAATCCTTGCGGCATTATAACAGACAACAATTGTTCATATAAGTCATTATTATTTTTCGTTAAAATTCCGAAACCTATAACCATTAAACTGTTTTCATTTTTCGTCAGTTTCCCAAAATCTGTTGTTGAAATGTTGTCGGGCAAAGTGATATTTTTGAATCGCTCTTGTGTCGCTACCACTTTGATGTCGGATTGAATTTGCGGTAAATCATCCAGAACTTTATTCACTAATAAACAATTTAAATTCTCCGGCATTACTTGATCGCTGTCCTCGATTAATTCTATGATTTTTATGTTTATCATGTTGTAACATTCAAGCGCAATGTGCACCGACATTCTTATTACGTCTTGCAAAGACAAAACACTTAGGTCTCGATGAGCAACAAATTTGTACTCTTCAAGTACGGGATTAGCTGTTCTTTGTCGACGAGATATAATTGTAGCCACGGTGCCGGATATTTCTATTCCTCCAGCTATCAAAACGTCTAAATTTTTGTAATTTTGCACAAGGACCTCTGCAATGCAATAACATACAATGATATATTAGATATATATTTTTTAAGTAATAATGCAGAGTGTAATCTAATGTTTAAGAGACCCTCAGCGCCGTCTTATTTTACCGACAAATAAAAAGGAATTAAAAAACTAAATTTTTTTCGTTTTGAACATAAAATCGATATGTCCTGGCTTTGTTTCTCTATGTATTTTAATCGTAGAAAAGCATTTATCATTCTGTTCAATCAATAAAAAGAAAAGCATGCAGAAAAATGATTGTTTAGTCGATAAAACAGAACGGCTTCAGAATCCTCTTAAAGTTTGTAATTTATAATAGTACAAATATACGTTTTTCATCATTTGGCAGTTTGTCAATCTGTTGTATGTGAGATTTCGGGTCAATCACTACTTTGCGAATTCTTGTTGGTACCATGAGACTTCTCGAATTTTGTCCTAAAATCATCAACTGCAACATATTGTCCATAAATGTTACCCAGTTATCAGTCCAGGCAATATGACCATTCCTTCCCGTGATTGAGGCACTTTTCAGTCCACGAAATTCGCCGACATATTGATAACCGCGAAGTTTCAATTCTTTATAGATATCTTTGGTATTCATTTCTTCCTCCTCATTGTTATTTCGATCGACAAACGTAATAAACGTTTTTTCGTCTTCAATATTAATTGGAATTCGTATTGTTCCAGTGACGACAATATTGCCTCCTTCGATTATTTCAAATTTGTTACTACCTACAGCAATATCGATAAATGTCAAAATATTCTCATTTTTGCTTAATTCTGCTGCAACTCTATTGGAAAACTACTTAGGTGACAAGCATATGTAATTTTGACGTTTAATGACGTCAGTTTGCTACTTAGATATACTAACGATTTTTTTATTTACTTTTCTGAACTCAATTTTTTGTTATTCATATTTTACCTCATAGTATTTAATTTTTTGCATATCTACAGTTTACAGGATTAATTTAATTATTTTAATTGCACAAGGATCACCTTTCTGGAGCGTGAGAGTTAAATCGACTGGCTTTTGTGGTGACAAAATCGTAGAGCGTATAAAATCGACATTTTCAAGTACAATTGGTATATCAAGATGATTTTGCTTTTTTAACCAGCTGATCAACTGCCACATAAGCACAAGATATCCCGTAGCCGGTAATAAATTTTTTCCATTAACTACATGCCCGACCATGTATAAATATTCTTCCTCTGTTATATTAATAGTAACGATCGCTTCCCCTTTTGCAAGTTTTCTCTGTACGAAATATTTATATGTATACCAATCTTCGGAATGGTCCCATCTGCAAAGCATTTCATTATATTTGTATTGTCGGTCTATTACATTAAGTCACCTAAATAATAAGAAAATTAATTACTTAATCTTCTTGGTTTTTTTAAACATATACCAGTTCAGATTTGTTATTATGAATACTTAGATTCTAGTAAAGAATTTTGCATTCTGTATAGCAATAAATAGTAAAATAAAAATAATATTTGTGGATAAATTCTACAATGTTTTAATTTTTTATAATAAAAAGAACTAACGTCATATCAAACAGAATTTACCTTACAAGATGAGAGATCATCGGTGTACCACAACTTACAGGAAACTTGACTTCCGGATATAAATTTGCGATTTGCGGTTGTAGTCCAGCATTATAAAGTTTTCCAATTCCGTCCAAAAATATTTCAATGTTCGGTTTGTAACAGAATTTGTATAACGCGATATTTGTCACTGATGTCTCCAAGGAATCATCAAGAACGTTTTGTAGGATATCGTACGGCCCAATTTCAATCGTCACCGCGTCGTTTGGAATTAAACCCATAAATTCCGAAAACAATACCGGGGTTAACAAATGGTTAGCATAATATTTTGCGAGATATGACTTTGAAGATGTGCCGAAATATTCACAAGAGAGACCATTCAGCCACTTCGAGCTCGGAAACGCTTTTTGCGGCAACACTTGATTCAAGTACTTCAAAAGTTTGGCTCTTACTGGTTCGACGTAGCGACTGTGAAAAGGTATACGTCCACAGGATATTTCTCTTGCAGAAATTTTATTATTCTGAAGAAAAATAAACTTTGTCATCTATTAAATTCGACATTACAATAAGCGTGATAAATATTATTTATACTATTTTCAAACCTGTAGTTTAGCGAGGAATGCTTTTACAGAGTCTGTTGGTCCACTAACAATGAAATTATGTTGACTATTGTAACAAGCTACATCGATATCCGGTGGACACATATTCTTCATAGTTTTAAAATCAAGATTAATTTCGGCCATTGAGCCGTTTATTATTTTTGAGTTGTAAAATGCTAAACCGACATGATATGCCAACATGATCGTCTCTTCAGCAGTCAAACATCCATCGGCGTATCCACAAATCAATTCGCCAATGGAATGACTTATTATAATATCGGGAGTTATTTCGATACTCGTTAAAAGATCAACTATTCCGATCTGCAATACGTATAAAACATCCAACTCTCTATTTCTTCGGAATACAACTATATTATAAAATATTATAAATTTTTATTTCTGCATGCAATTATATATATATATAACTGGCTACTTTCAATTTCAGTTTGTTTACAGAATCTTTAAGTTGTAAAATAAAAAACTGATATACGCTTTATAAAAATTAAAATAAGTACAGAATAACTCTACAATATAATATAGACATATTTTATTTATATACGTGTATTTATACCTGTAGTCCAATAAGACCTACGAATAAATTGACTACATTGTCGAGAATATGTTTGTCTTCATTTGTTAGAATATCGATGATGAATATACCATGAGGTCTCAAAACTGCATCACATTTCTGAACTGCTTTAGTGAATACTGGAAATTTCATTAAAGCACGACCTGCCAATGTTTTAACAGAATATTGTTAAATTATTATATAATATTATTGATACATTGTTTTAAATAATTCAATGTTTTTGACATAATTAATCTCAGTAAGTACATATAAATGTTCTTTGAAATTGCTTATTTTTATTTTGTACGTGATTTTTATAGTTTTACTAAACAACACAAGCGCGCGCTTTGCGTGCTCCTTTAATATCGCTTCCATTGTTTATTTTACAACTTTTAAATTGTTATTTTTTGCTATAATAATTGCTTTATGCTATGACCATAATTTTAATTCGCCGAATTTCTATAATACACATAATTTTAATTCGTTGAATTTCTATTTATGTATACATACTTTATTTACATGCGTCCCAAATTTTGAGATTTGATTATCAAAAAATAATATAACTTTGATTTGCGTGCATAATTATATTTGGTTAGATTAAACGAAATGATATATATATATATATATATATATATATACACGGTAAAAAACATTTCGTATTTCTGTTGAAATTATCTTGTGTAGAAATTTTTGTGTTAAATTTTTAACATACTCTTATGTTAATATAACATATTGTCGTTATGTTATTTTGACATTTGTCTGTTGAGTTAATATTCACTATTTTTAAGTGTTAAAACAACACAATTAAATGAAAATGTACGAATTTTTGCTTATATTATATTTTTATTTTTATATTTTTGTGTTATTTTTCACATATTACGTGTGTTATTTATTTACATATTTGTCCTCTGTTAAAATGACATTAAAATTAGAGTAGATAAATTGAGACATGTGAAATGTGTTAAATTTAACATAAATTTTTTTACTGTGTATATATATATATATATATGTATGTATATGCTACATAAATTTATAAGCAGATTTGTTAATAAAATAGGAAGTTACAAGTAAAAGTAATTGTGTCAACTTATAAATCAAACTCAGTTTTGTTATCAAGTTTAATTATGATTGTTAGTATAACTAATTATGTTAATATAATAAACTGATAGTAGAATACTAATACGAGAAATACAATTCAATAATTTTCATTAAAAAATAATGCTGGTATAAATGATGCTACAGTATATTATATTAAACAGTTATATTTTATAATAATTTTGAAAGATAATATTAAACAGTTATATTTCCTAATAATTTTGAAAGATAAAATTGGCTGTGAGAGCCTTCCGCGGATGTATGTGCGCGAAGACTGCGACAATTTAATATATTTTTCTCGTCTACATCACTCCAGAGGGGTAAAGGAAACTTAGGAATTAATATCTCAAATACGAGATTTTTTCCAAATAAGTCTTAGCAATCGCTAAACAAATTTCTTGCTTCGTGCATATACATTCGCGAAGGGCTTTTACAGCCAAACTTATCTTTCGAAGTTATTATTTAATATAGAACCCAGATAGCACCATGTCCAAAATGCACCCATAAGACATCTTTAAGATGTTTTCAAGATGTCTTTGGGATATCATATCATAAGATTCCTTAAAGATGTCTTAAAGATTTCTTAATGATGACTTATGCGTGCATTTTAGACATTGTGCTATCTGGGAAAAGCCGTACAGTATCGTTATAGTTATATATTTTAATTTTATATTTTATTATATATTTTATATTTTAATTTTAATTCTCGCATGTCTGTTACGTACATAATTTTAAATTGCCGAATTTTAATTATATATATAATTTTAATTTCTGAATTTTGGTAATACTAAAGCTGAAAATATTATAAATGTTAAATTTGTAATATAAACATAACATTAAATTGCATTGTAATATATATATATATATATATATATATATATTACATTTGCAAAATACAGAAATTAAAATTATATACATAATTAAAATTTGGCAATTTAAAATTTTATATAAATATATATATATAAGTAAGAATATCATTATGTAAACTTAAAAATTGTTTAATGATAATTGCAAACAAACTTGTTACAGTATTGTAATATATATATAATGTAATATTTGATTTAGACTTACCCATGTTAAGACATTGAGATCCAATTCCAGAAAATATAAAGCAAATTGGTATTTTTGTACATAAGTTGCGTTCCATTTTAATTATTATGTTATCGGATAATTTTGATCCAGCAATTAAGTATCCTCTGTAGGGATGACCTTCTATATTTTGGTTATGAATACGATGTAGCAGAGAGATATATTCTACATCTATCGATCGATTCTGTACCTGTAAAAATATCATTACTAATTATAATTATACAATAACTATCTTATTACATATTTTTAAAATTAATTAAAATTGAAAATATATACGGGATTTTCTAACAATGGAACGGTCGGAACTGACCCTCACCCTGTTTAATGAACTTGGAATATGTTTTAGAACATTGAGAAATATGAGACCTGTATTTTGTAGTTGCGTACCTTGACTTAAGGAGTTAAATTGTTTTTTTTTTTTATTTTTGAGTTAATACCGTCGAAACAAAAAGATAAAAAAAATGTTTCAAATAAAAGTTATATGGTTTTTAATATAAATATATATATGCCCTAAACTACTTTGATTTTAAAATACAAAATATCAAAGTTGTTAAAGAAAAGATAATTTTGTTCAATAAATTAAAATGACATACATAATAATAATAATTATAAATGAGATACACGTATATAAGAAAGATTAAATTATTTGTGAAATAAGTTATAATATACTCACATCATCTAATAAAATTTTAACTGCTTCCTCGGTACATCCAGATACAGCCACAAGCTTAGGTAAATTATAATCTGTTTTATTTATGACTTTAATTTTTGGATTCGATTTCAGTAATATGTGGCCATTAGCACCGCCAAATCCAAAAGAATTAATACCGATGTAACCTCCCTTAAATTCTGTCGGTTCGGTGATTACTTTTATTCTTCCTTCAATAATAGCAGTCATATCCTTCCGTGGTTGGTTGAAATGTATAGTAGGCGCGATTATACCAGTTTCCATCGCTATTATTATCTTTACAAAAGGAATACATTTGTTATATAATTTTAACAATAATATCTTTTACAATTACGATACATAATTTAAAAAATGACAGACAATTAAAAAAATACTTGCACAAAATTACATATAACATTATAATATATTGTTGCATTAAGAGAATTTTAACAAAAAATTCAAAATTTTTTTTGGTTTTAAATATAAAATCGATAGATCACGGTTTTGCTTCTATATGTGCTTTAATCTTGGAAAAGCGGTTATTATTCTATTTAAATAATAAAAAAAGGGTGCAGAAAAATTGTTTTATCGGTAAAATGGGACATCAAGAACTCTTTAACTATTTTTTTGTTATTAACTTTTTTTTAACCTTAAACTAATTAACGATGAGTAAGAATACATTACCCAATCCTGATTAATTAATAATAAATAATAAAAAATAACTGACAATTTTAAAAAATACTTGTACAATCTTACATATACATTTATATAGTATTAACCCTATTTTGTTGTAAACTCACTTTTGCAATTTGACAATGACCGCTAACGGGTTCGGAGTGTCCAATATTCGACTTTACTGAACCCAATAACAGAGGGCCGTCTCTTTTGGAACATAAAGCTTCATCAATGGCTTGAAGTTCCACAGGATCACCAGCTAGGGTACCAGTTGCATGAGCCTCCATGTAAGACAGCTGAAGAGGCGAGACGCCGCATTCCTCGTAAAATTCTTCCAGCAGCATTTTTTGCTTGTCAAACGATGGATAGGTGATCCCTTCTTCTTTAAAGCCATCACAGTTGGTTTTACCGTAGACAAAAGTCGCGTAGATTCTCCTTGCGTTTTTTGTCTTTTGTAGGTACACTACTACAGCTGCATCACTCCGCATGTAACCAGCGCCTTTCTCGTCGTAAGGTTTACAGTAACCATCAACAGAAAGAACCCCTAAAATAATAATATAAATAGTTCATTTTTTAAATAAATTAAAAGATATTTTTTATAGTTCCTTGATTTATGATTCGCAAGTACTTGAGAATTTTTATATAAATATATGTAAGCATGCAGTGTTGTGGCTTATAGATGATTTTAAAATCAGTTAGATAAATATAAGATAAAATATGTAAATTCATCTTCGATAAGATGAAGATAATTTTATTTTAAATATATCTAGATAAAAGATAATCGCAACAATTTTAAAAGTAATAAAATTTTGTACATACCCAGACAAAAGAACTGATGAGTTACAAAAGGATGGATGCACAAATTAACGCTAGCAACAATAGCAGCATCGCAAACGCCTGATCGAATCATCCTGTAAGCCTCCACCATAGCAAAATGACTCGAACTGCATGCAGTATCGATGTTATACGATGGTCCAGTAATGCCGAGCCAATGAGAAATTCTGTTTGCTATCATGGCTTTGCTGCATCCAAGAATGGGTAATCCAGCAATCTGTTAGCAATTGCGCGACATGGTATTTAAACGGAGAAATTTTTTTGTATATTTAGCATTATTTTCTTATCCATATAATATTACAACTTATTGTAGATACGTGGACGCTATTTTCATGATAGTTTTCAAGGATTGCATTAATGAGGTGCTTTTACGTTTTAATAACTATCATAGTCGGTTACTGTTTACACACAAGATAGAAAGTAAGAGTTGTATTAATTTTTCTGGAGACCTCTGTTATAAGACAAAATAATAGATTAATAACTAATTGACATAGGAAACCGACATTTTCAGAAAGATACATTAATTACTTCTCTAGTCACCCGCATAAATACAAAGTTAACACAATATTAAATCTCGTAGACAGAGCTATACTACTTTCGAACAAACAATTTCACATACAAAATATCGAGACTGTTAAACAGATTCTCGCGAACAATTACTATCCTCAACGTTTATATAACTCTATTATCAACAAGAGATTAAAATATCTTTACTCTATTAGTAATGATTGAAGGGTTAGTGATAAAACAAACTACAATGTGTCATGTTGCGTCGTACTGCCATATATCAAAGGGTTAAGTGAGAATGTTCAACATGTTTTGAATAACTTTGGTATGGATGTCTTATACTATGTGCCTAATAAACTTGATGAGCTAATTGTGAGAGGGAAGGACCATTTGCCGAAAAATAGGAGAACTAATGTAATATATAAAATTACTTGCAAGGAATGCACTGCGTGTTATATTGGGCAAACCAAGCGCTATCTTGAAACTCGTATTAGAGAACATTTCAAGGATATTAATAAACATGATAGCAATCACTCGGTTGTTAGTAACCATAGAACGATATATAATCATGAATTTAATTGGACTGCGGTTTCCATTTTACATAACAAAGCTAATTATAAAAAAAGGGAAATCGGAGAGATGATATACATTAAAAAACATAAAGACGCGATTAATCTGCAGAGAGACACAGAAAATTTAAATATTATTTACGACGATATTCTTAATATATTTTAATATCCTTGACTATATCGAGTTGTTAGTGTATTGTTTACTGTCTTACCTCTGTGCTTCTTTATTATTTTGATTAGCTTCAGTTTATGTCAATCTTTGATTTTGCGAACAGCGTTAATGACGATAAAAAAATTACCTTTTTAAAAAAAGGTGCTAAGTCCGCGTAATGTCCCTGTACAAACCTATCCTACAAAAATTAATAATATAAAAAAAATTATGCTAAGTAAAAATAAAAACTTTAACATATTTTAATTTTATTTAATTAACCAAAAAGGTTATTTATATATATAAAATAATTTTTTAATTTCCTACATCCTACAAAAAATAATATTAAAAATTTGCAATAATTAAAAAAATTAAAAATAAAAAAATTAAAATTAAAAAATTTTTTAAATATATAGAAATTAAAAATTTTTAAAAATTAAAAAATACAAAATTTTTTTTAAATTAAAAAATTAAAAAAAACTTAGCACTGCAAAATTAAACAAACAATATGTTAAAATTAATGTATTTTTTCGCTTGAATGTTCTTCAATTAAAGTTTAGCAGTGCTAAGTTTTTTTAATTTTTTAATTTAAAAAAATTTTTTATTTTTTAATTTTTTTAATTTTTAATTTCCATATATTTTTTTTAATATTTTAGTTTTAATTTTTTTAATTATTGCAAATGGTTAATATTATTTTTTGTAGGCTGTAAGAAATTAAAAAATTATTTTATATAACCTTTTTGGTTAATTAAATAAAATTAAAATATTTTAAAGTTTTTATTTTTACTTAGCATAATTTTTTTTATATTATTAATTTTTGTAGAATAGATTTTTACAGGGACATTACGCAAACTTAGCACCTTTTTTTACCTTTTTTTAAAAAGGTAATTTTGTTAGGGATATCACTTTTTTTTGTACTATACATTTATTTTTTTAAATTTCTAATTTTTAATATTTATCTACATAAATTGATATAAAAGAAGTTATTCATATACGTAAATATTTGGTATGAGTATAATTATATCATGCAACAAAATCTCAGAAAGAGATTATAATAACGCAAAAAGAATTTAGAGATGTAAAACATATTACCATTGCTATATAGATAAAGAATAAAATATAATTCTGTCAAATATATATTTAATCAAATATATTTAAAATAGGAACGATATATTAAATTCGACCCAAACTAGCCAAGAAATTTTTATTTTATTTCCACTACGTTTCGACCATCTGTTTTTGGTCCTTTTCAAGTGAAAAATTCTTTGTAATAAGCGTAGTTAGTTGACACTGTTGTCATGATTATTCAACAATATAATTATTGGAATTTTTTAAAAACATTTGAAATAACTTTTGAAAGAACTTTTGAAAGAAAGTAATCGCATCTTATCGTTATGATGGATCGTCAAAAAACGTTGTGGAAATAAAATAAAAATTTCTTGGCTAGTTTGGGTCGAATTTAATATATCGTTCCTATTTTAAATACCACTAGCAACGTTTTAAGTATTCAATTTGATCAAATATATTTAGTTAAATATACAAAAAATATGTATATATATTTATATATATATATATATATTTAATATACATATATATTTAATGTATATATTAAATATAGACTTAAAAATATTTCTTTTTACTTGTATTAGGCAGTTAATGTGTAATAATTTTTAACTTTTAATGTATCTTTACTAATAGATATGTCTCTAGTCGCAAATATGTTTAACAAATAATTTTTTGTATATTAAAATTAAGGTGGGTTAATTTTCTTTAGTAATACGGCATTATTTTCTTTGTATTAATTTCTAACAAATTTCTTATATTTCTTTGTATTTTTGTAGCTGGAAAAAGACCCAATTTAGGGTCGAAACGTCGCTTAAATAAAGATATTCATCTATAGTCAGTTTGGTCAATTACTCAACAACTTTGCATATAAATATCTTTATACAATTTAAGGAGAGTGTATTTTTTTAACAATTTTTGATACTTTAATTATTGAATAATCAATACGTAAACCACATACGTGAGGCTTCTCATATATTAAATCCAGATAGGCATCAGAAACACTTATTGCTGTGACGACGCTTGTGTTCGTTCCTTTTAATTCTGCTGGATTTACACCCGCATCAATGATTGCTTCATAGGTATGTTCGAGTAATATTCTGACTGCAGGATCAAGCATATGAGCCTCTGAAGCCGGTATATCGAAGAATCCTGCGTCAAACTTTTGTATTTCGTTCATTTTTCCTATTCGAGGAGGCATTTCGTATATATCTGTCAAGATTTTAAATAATTTGTAAACACAATATTGTCGTATTGGTCAATTAAGGATAATAATTGCATAAATACAATAAGTATTTTTCTACTAAATGACAAGGTTGAATAAGTTAATGATTTTTTAAAATTAAGTTAAGTTAAAATTAATTGCTTATAAAATTAATAATTACTAATTATTATTTAAGTTAAAAATTGCATGAAAAAAAATTAACTCAATTAAAGTTTACACAGTTAAAATTAAATTAACTGAAGTTAAATTTTAAAAGTTAATTTTTAAAACCATTATTTATATTAAATTAGAATTATGTTTGTTCATTCTTTTAAAATTTATAATAGCAAATAACAAAGAAATTTTGATTTTTATATAGAAATATATTTTTTGATAATTACAATTGATGACAAATTAACATAAAAATTAATAACACTTTAATTTAAAAATAATACTTTATTTATAACTTATAAAAAACAATAATTAAAGGTATTCAAAGATAAAAAAATTTAACTTGGGAAAAAAGTGAATAAGTTTAAGATCAAAAATAACTAGTTGAAGTTAAAATTAATACATATATTAAATTAACTAAGCTAAGTTAATAGTTATTAACTTTTTAACTTTTTTAAAACTTTCAACTAATTAACTAGTTATTATCCAACCCTACTAAATAATAAAACAAAATTATTCTTAATTTTGAAAAAATTAATTGCATTATTATTACAATCAGTCCAGCGTTGATGATCGTTCGAACCAAGATCCATTTTATTAAAAAGTTTTTCCTGAAAATCTTTTATATTGTCAGAATTAGGAAATCGCCCAGCAATGCCAGAAATAACGATTTCGTCTTCAGCATTGACTTTGATATATGGATTGAAACGCTTGTTTTTATCCATTTTTTATAAATTCTAGGAAAAAAACAAATTTTAGAGATTTATTTCAGAATTACATGAATATTTGTGTGTATTTAGAATAAAGGAAAATTTTTATAAACCATTTCTAAAAAATTACACCAAATTTATCATAAACTTATTGTGTTTGTTTAGAAAAAAAGACAATCATATAATTTTAAGCTTATAATTTTTTCCAAGTAAATATATATATATATATAATATAAATTTCTCAAATTTTTTAAATCAATAAACTTAAAATCGTAGTATAAGAGAGAGAGAGAGAGAAACTTGTTTAATAAATTAAAAATTTCATAATCATTTCTTGATAGTTTGCTAACGAAATAAATAAATAAATATATGCAATAAAATTGAATTAAGGAATATTCTTATGTACTAAGAGAACACATTTTATACAAAATTTCTACATATAAATATAATTGTGCATGTATCATTATTATGTAAGTAAAATTAACATACATAAAAAACAACATTATTATTAATAAAAGGCGAAAAACATTTTTATATTTTGAGTTGTAAAACCAGAGAAACAAAAAATTTATGAAAATAAAAACATTAATTCTAATTGTGCAAATGTTTTTGTGACATGTAGAAATAAAATTTTGTGATAATTTACTCAAAAATTTAAAAAAAAAATTGTTGAAAAATAAAAAACATTTATACTCACCAAGTTTAATTTAAAAAAATTTTTTTTCTTTTTTTAATAAAATTAACAACGCCAACTATTTTATTAAGAACAGTAATTTATAAAACTGGATAACACACACTACACCATAACACACTATAAGCTATACTATGGAACAGAACATGTCCGACTACCTGTTAAATTATATATATAGAAACTGTGCGACACAAGTTACTCAAATATTGTAACAGTCTGACTTTCCGGTATAAAAATAATCATAAATTATATAATATAATAGAATTATATAATCAATATAATTATACATTCAATTGATCAACTTAATATTGTGTCAAAGTTCAGCGGAAATATATACGTACTAATGTAGGAATAGCCGGGTTAAAGTAGACATGATAATGTCATTACCATATGTTTTTGTATTTTAATCAAGTATAATTAAATACGATTTGCACTTTGTATTTAAACTCAAATGTACAGTTGTAAAGCATGAAAATGTGCAATAAATATTTTTTTATAAGAGTGATATTTTATAAGAGATAATTAACCTTCAGAAATAATCTGGCCTCTTCATTATTCAAAATTATGCTCAGCATAAATTGCACATTCAATTTAAATCAATATGTTGAATGTAAGCACAGAATATTTATCAAATATAGAACACGAATTTCAATATTTAAATCAAAATTAACACAACAGCACAATTTTAATGTTTATTTTGTATTTCTATTATATATATATATATATATATATATATATATATATATTTATATTTATATTTATATTTATATTAGTTCAATAATCAAGTAAAAGATATAAAAAAAAGTCATTTTTTTTATTTCTTAGTTTAGAAGATATAATTTATCTTTTTTCTTTATTGATTATTACATATCTATTGCATATTTTATTATATACTTTTCATTTTTTTATTATTTCTAAAGTAGGAAACTAAAGTCATTAAACGTCATTTTATCGTCTAATCGACATTAAAATGACGTCAATTTGCTACTTGGGTTTTAATTAGTTATTAATATATATATATATATTCCTTTATATATGTATTTTGTAGAACATGGTGATAAATTCTACATAATACATTTACATTACAGTTTATTTTTTTCCAAATATAGTCGTTACATAATATTTTTTGTTATATTTTTAAAACTGACCTTCATTGATTTGAATTATTTATAACACCGACACCTAACCGATACAATGAAATTATCAATAAAGTAGGGTCAAAGAGTTAAAAATAATGTTTAAATTAATGATGTTAAATTTAACTTATACATTATATTTGTAACTTATGTTACATAGATTAATACACTTGTTTTTCAACATTATTTTAGATAATTATTTCTATACTTTCTACATTTTTATAAAATATTTTTTGCAGTATAAATTTTATTTTTATTGCCTTGCATAATTACTTGAGTAATTATCATGATATTTTATTAAATTTACAATGCATCGTTAATAAATGATGCTATTTTATCATTGTCCATCATTGTGATATGAGTTCCTTCGACGTAATGAATTTGTATTGCACCTTCGGTGATCTAAAAAATTTCTCATATAAAAAATATCTTAAAAATAATAAAATAGTTTACGAGATAATCAAATTTACCTTATATAGGCCACAATCGTCCTCGATAAAAGTAAAAGGCGCAAGTGTAGGTTTTAGAAATATTATAGATGACTTTAAGCGCGGCACCGAAGATATGTTATAATCTTTTACAGCGATTATATGATCGTAAACTGTTGAACATAGGAATTTTTGATTTTCAACAGTTAAATCAGTGATGTCCTTCGTATAATGAGTAATTATTTCTAACTTCTTTTCCCATGTATTGCACTTATTCAACTCCAATGTAAGCTGTAAATAATAAAATAATATATTATATTTTGCACAATAAATAGAAAAAAAGTTAACAATCTGAACAACGTTAAAAAACTTTAAAAAATTTTTTAATCTAAAATAAGATAATAAATTTAGTTTATTTTATTATATTTTATAAATAATTTAATTATTTTATATTTGTTCAACATATTAACTATATGTAAACACAATTACATAAATTATTTTTGCAGAAAAAAAATTCAAATTGTAATTTTGAGATTTACCATTTCAGTATTAAATTCAAGATACATTTTCATCAAACGAATTAAAATGTCATTTTGTAGTTCTTGCTCCGACTGTTGATTAAGAACTTTCTCAACCAAAAATTTCATTACATCAGGAGCACCATCAATAATTATTAAACGTCCAGAGAAGTTCTCAGCTTCCAATAATCTTGCTAATTCGATAGCGATTAAACATCCAAATGAAAAACCCACAATTACAAACTCCTTTTGACTTTTCATTTTCTTTAATACATACTAAAAAAAAGAAACATCCATATATAATATAGTACGTAAAAAAGGTGTGGATATAATTATTTCAAATAGATTATCTTATAATTCCTTACAGGCAGAAGATACGCTGCTGATTTCGTTATTGAACGAGTGACACCCGGAATATGAAATACACCGTGTTGCAAACACGTCGCCGAAGATTTAATTTTCGATTCCACTAGTTTATATACTCTAGCACAACCATCGACTCCTGGTATAAGAAATATTTCGCTTCCAACAACTTCTCTTTTCGCACCGATTTCTACATAAATATCTGAATTCAAATCCGAATCGCTAAGTTTTCGAGTCAACATTTTTAATCCATCCAAATCATTTGTGTCAGCTTTAGTAGCGTTATGCACTTTTTCTTGCTCAGCTACGTTTGTCATTTGTTTAAGTTTTGCAAAATTGAGATTTCGAATATCTTGTGCCGTCAATAAAATATCAAATTCTCTCTCCAACGTCTGTTTAATTTCCACTGCCATCATTGAATCCATTCCCAGTTCGGCCAGTGATATGTTTGGCGCCACTATGTTTGGATTTTTCAGTCCTATTTTAAGAATTATTAAAAATAATTAGATATTTATTAGGTGTCATTTCAAATAGATCTTACTTAAAACAACGATATAAAAATTTACGATGAAGTTTACGCTTTTTTCAGTGACTTCAATGACTACTTTAATACACTCGTTTACTTGGCATGCTCTTATAATTTGGTATACTGTTAATGAATTTTTAATAATAATATTGACTAATAGTGGACTTCGTATAAATAATTTGGCACAAATTTTTTAAGTAATAGTATTTTGAACTGACCCATAATATTTGCAACCGCTTCAAGTGGATTTGTTGCCTGGCCAAGACCTTTTCTTTTCTCAGCAACAATCATGCTGCCTACGATTGGCCGATCTTGTAGCAAGAATGCTTCTAATGTATTCAAACAAGAGGATATTTCTTGTTGCAATGTACCTCCAATAACAAGTTCTTTGTCGTCTTCTTGCATATCTGCGACAAGCCCAACATTACCAATAGCGCCCCATTGTATAGCCAAACCATGTAGACCCTCTTTCTTTCTTCTCTCACAAATTCTTTCCATTACGGAATTAGCCATTCCGTAATTTGTTTGGCCTGCGTTACCTCTTCCGCATGAAACGGAAGAAAAAACGACAAAATGTCGAAGATGGGGACAAATTGTTCTCGATAATTCGTCCATCTTCTTTGTCGTCCATGCTTTTGACAAGAAGGATTCTTCGAAATTCTTTGGAGACTGATTCTTGAATATGCCATCTTTCAACACAACTGCGAGATTGAATATAGCATCCACGGGACCTTGTTCTTCGGCAAATTTTAATAAAGATTTACAGTCTTCGTATTTCGAAGTATCAACAGCTGTCACGATTTGTACATTCGCACCTTGAGATTGCCATAACTTTACTCTCGATCGTTGATAACCATTCCTTATTCCAGTTCGCGATGTCAGTACTAGATTTTTTGCACCACGTGAAATCAACCAATCAATTAATTCTAGACCAAAACCACCTAGGCCACCCAAAACAAGGTAAGATTTGTCTTTGAGGCAATAATAGCGAGGATGTGCGAATATAGGTTCATCCAGGGGTTCATTTTCATTATGAACTTTTATTATTATCTAGAAATAAAATTAATTTTACAATATAATGTATACATATTTTAAAATATTATGTGGAAAAAAATAGAAATGAGACAAAGAACATGAATATGAAACATGTTAGACAAAATTAAAACAGATATTGAAATGAAGATTATAGATAGAGATCTCTAAGAAAGAATAAACTATGAAATTATGAGTTTGTTCTTTATTGCTGCACTGATGAACTAATAATGCAATAAATTAAAGTGAGACAAATATATTTTGTTTCGCTCTAATTTACTGGAACAGTCTGCACTAGTTCACTAGTGCAACAATAAAGAA